ACACACACACACACACACACACAAACCTTACTGGGATTTTATTGGAATTGCATTGAATCCATGTCTTTACACACACACACACACACACACACACACACACACACACACACACAAACCTTACTGGGATTTTATTGGAATTGCATTGAATCCATATGTCGATGTCAATTTTAGAAGAAATGGCATCTTTACAATATTGAATCTTCCAATCTTTGAACATAGCTTTTCACTCCATTTATGTCTTTATTTCTTTCAATAATGTTTGTGTGTGTGTATATAAAAGTCATTGCATAACTTTCATTAGCTTTATTCCTGGCATTTTGTTACTTGACGCTCTTGTAAATGGCATATTTTTAAAATTTGTATTTTCTAACCGTTGCTGACATAGAAATTACAACTGATTTTTATTTTTATTTATTTTAAAGATTTTAAGTAATCTCTACACCCAACATGGGGCTCAAACTCACAACCTCAAGACCAAGAGTTGCATGCTCCATCAACTGAGCCAGCCAGGTGCCCTCCAACTGATTTTTATATATTGACCTTCTGTTCAAGAACTTTGCTAAGCTTACTCTAATAACTTATCTATAGGTTCTTTTAAATTTTTTACATACACAATCCTATTGCCTGTGCATAAGTTTTATTTTTTCCTTTCCAATCCTCATACTTTATTTGAGACTTGTGGTCATGAATGTAAAATGTTTTTCTCTAGTAATGTTCTGCTGCTCCAGAAGTGAGGAATACACAAATAGCCTATTTTAAGTGGGGTTAGATTTTAGCCATGTTTGTCTAAGAAAAGCAGGGCAGATGAGTTGTTATAACACTGGATTCTATAAGGCTAATGGTAAAGGTAAGGAACTGAGGAAGTGAGGAATGATGGATTGGAGATCTCAATAAGATCAAAGAACTGGGGGCGCCTGGGTGGCTCAGTCGTTAAGCGTCTGCCTTCGGCTCAGGTCATGATCCCAGGGTCCTGGGATCGAGCCCCGCATCGGGCTCCCTGTTCGGCGGGAAGCCTGCTTCTCCTCCCTCTCCCACTCCCCCCGCTTGTGTTCCCTCTCTCACTGTGTCTCTCTCTGTCAAATAAATCAATAAAATCTTTAAAAAAAAAAATAAGATCAAAGAACTGTTGGATAATTAGCTGGATGGGTTGGCCAGGTCTTCTGGCTTGCTCTTCCAGCAAGGTACCTGACTGGGAGGAAGGAGGGGGCAAACACAGGGTAGAAGGAAAAGGCAGGAAGCAAGAGGACAACTAAGATGTCCTAGAGAGCAGTTTCCGCCAAGGCTTTGCCCTCTGGTCTCCTGGACTGCTCTCCATTTATCCCACAGCAGCCTCAAACCCAGGTTTCTGAGCCCTGGGTGGACCCTCTAGCTTAGAGCTGAAAAGAAGACAGAGGATGACTCGTAGGGATCTTGCTATGTTCCTAGGAGGTAGGGGCAGGTCTGGAGTTGAAGGGAGAAACTGTCACCGAAACTTGGTTTCCGTCTTTACAGAACACATTAGAAGCTGCCACTGGTGGGGTGGGGCATAGAGGTGAGTGCACATGCGGAGTGGGAGGCCTCCACAGTACAACAGCCAGAGAGGACAGCAGTGGAGGCAGGAACAGCAGGGAGCGACACGGATAGCCACGGCAGTCAGGGGTATCGTCTAGGTCTTGCTCTCCATAGGAGGATCCGCTGAAGCCACTGCTAGCCCTAGTGAAGCCAGCAGAGCTTGATTTCCCTCGGCCAGTGGTTCCTTTACGCCTCTGCACATTTGCCCACTTAGCCTCCAAGACCTAGGATGGCTCCTCCTTCCCTCGCAGCTGCAGGCTTCCTTTTGGTTATTCGAGGCTCTGCTCAGGCATTTTCTCTAGCGGGAAGCCGTCCCAGATCGCTAAGTTGGCTGAGGCACTTCCTCCGGGACCCTAGCACCCTTCCCCCTAGCGTTCCGCCTGCCTCCCTCCTTTGTTGGTGTAAAGTCTTGCGCCCTGCACTCGCTAGATTTGTGGACCCGGAGGGCGAACGTGCAACCAAAACCTCGTCCCCGACCTCGCTCCTCCAGCCCCTACACCGGCTGGGCCCTCATCCAACCGAGTTCCGCCTTCAGCGGTGCAGCAGATGCTCCACCCTCACGCCCAGCAGAACCCAGACTGCACACCCGGAGCGAAGCTCCGACCTTAGGGGGTCCTCAGATTTTGGAGCTCACCGGCCGGCTCTCAGTACGTAGAGAGGGTGCTCGGGAGGTGGAGCCCACGGGAACCCCACCTCCCGGAAGCGAAGAAGTCAAGGGGCCAAAGAACGTGCCGTCTGATTGGTTGATGGTGATGTCATAGGTACCGTCGGAGTGGGCCGGAGGCCTTAGCCAGGAGTTTTCCGTTAGTTCCTAGCAGGATCCGCGCCCCTTGGAGCGTTCTGGGATCCAGCTCTAAACCCCTCCTCGGTCCTGGGACGCCCGCGCCCTTCACACATGACGCTGCAGGGCGTTGCCGCTGCTGCCTTTGCCGGCGGGACCGTAGAAAGCCAACAGGATTATCTCTCTCGGCCATCCTGGAAGCCACAGAACTCTCCCCTCAGACAATGAGTCCGCCGTCGGGGGCGGAGCCTCCCATTGTGCCAATAGTTCTCCCCCAACCCCGTGTCGACTTCTGTGACGTCCATTCCGCGGTGTCTGCCCATTGGCCAGCTGGGACCGATTGGCGCCCGGAGTTGCTCAGTGCTGGGAGAACTGTATTGAATCGTGGGAGGAGGGTTGAGCTTCCGCTAGTCCCTTCAAGGGGTTAAGGGACGTGGTCGTGGCGGGCGAGGGGCGGGGATCCGAGGAAGCCCTGGCTGCAGCCCTGTGGCAACGTCGGGCTCCACGTGGCATCCCAGAGCACTCGAGACCCGCAGCTTGGAGGAGGGTGTAGCCTCCAGCGCGGGAGACTGCTGGAATCCAGCAAAGCAGGGAAGAGTTTGGTCTTTACTCACGCCTTGGGCGGGTCACCCAGTCCCTGCTCTGCAGAGACGCTCCAAACAGGCAGATGGTTCCGACATGTTTCATGAGTTAAAACTCACTGATCGAACAGTTCAAGCTATTAACTTTGGTTATGGCGTCCCAGGTCCCCATCCAGTCAACGTCCCTTCCACCCCCAGGATTCCACATGGTACCCCTGCCAAAAGTCAGGATAACGCTCCCTGCAAGTCATGGGCACCAAATTTTCAGGTCAAAATCCGGGACAGGGTTCGGAACTAGTGCTCAGGAAGGGGGACAAGAGACCGGCAAGCAGAAGAAAGGATGGAAGATGCAGCTGGGACCGCGCCTAGAAGAAAGAAGGCGGGTGAGGGCGGTGGCTCAAAGCAAGGAGGGTGGATCCAGGGGCGGTGAACCTCTTAGCCCTGTTCAGCACCGCGGGCAGCAGTTATGCTTTGCCCTCAACAAAGATGGCGACAACAGCTTCAGTAGTCAGAGTCCGCATGCGTAACGGGCTGTACCACCGGATTTGGAGCTTCGGGGCGGAGGTGGAACGAACCATCGCTGAGGCCGGGAGCCATGTTGGAGCGGCGGGAGGCGGCAGCAGCGTCGGGGATGCTGTGGTGGGGGCGGCAAAAGCCGGGGCCGCACGCCAAAGGGGTTCTGGCCGCGGAGTAGATGGTGCCCAGAGGGCGGAGGCGGCGCGGAGCGACAGGCCGAGAGGCGGGGGACCGGGGCGGCGGCAGGGGCCCGGGAGGGGGCCCGAGCGGCGGGGCGGGCCCAAGGCCCGGACCCGGGCGAGGGGCGGTGGAGGCCGTGTGGGGAGGCGGGGGGTGATGGCGAGGCGGCCGCCGTGGTGGAGTCTCAGGGGGCCGACGACCCCACTACTCCTGCTCCTTCTCCTCCTCTCTTTGTTCCCTCTCAGCCGGGAGGAGCTGGGGGTCGACGGGGGCCAAGGCTGGGACCCAGGGGTAGCTGCCGCTACGGGGCCAGGGGCGCGGACCGGTGGCAGAGCCTTAGCTCTTTGTCCCGAGACGCCCGGGGTCCAGGAGGATGGAGAGCCTGATCTGGGAGTCAGGGAGCCTGTCTTCATGGGGCTCCGAGGGGGAAGGCAAAGCGCCCAGAGTGGTCGAGGGCCCCCTGAGCAGCCGAACGCGGGGCTGGGGGGTAAATATGGGGTCCAGGCATTAGACAGCCGCGGGCGAGAAACAGGACAGGGACCAGGGTCTCTGCTATGCTGGCGCGCAGAGGTCTCCTCTTGCGGGCAGACAGGACCCTTGCGAAGAGATAGTCTGTCTCCAGAGGCTCTGTCCCCAGGGGTCCCGAGCCTGGAGAACAGCTCGCCCTTCCCTTCCGACCTTCTGGTACGGCCCCGTGGTTACAAGTCGGTGTCCTCCCAGAGGAATGCTGGGAGAGGCAACCCCAAAAAAGTGGGAACCATGCGCTGCTGCGGGGAATTGTGGGCGCCGAGGCGCAGGGGTCAGGGCGAGAGAACTGCGACATCTCGAGCGGAGAGGACAGCTCCCCAGCCGGACTGTTCCCCCAGGGCTGTGGGATCTGGCCCTGGGCTGGATTCAGCACCGCGCATAGAGAGGACAGCTCCCGCGTCTGGTTCAGCACCACGCAAGTCTCGGACAGCTCCCGAGCCTACGCCCGAGCGCATGCGCTCGCGTGGTCTCTTCCGCCGCCGCTTCCTCCGGCAGCGCCGCGGGCCGCGCCCCCCGGGGGTCCCGGCTCGGCCAAGAGTCTGGAGAATACCCCCAGCAAGCAGGGTCCGCCCCCGTCGCGCCGCGAACCGCCACCCGCAGTTTCCGCAGTACAACTATCAGGCGCTAGTGCCCGAGAACGAGGCGGCGGGCACCGCGGTGCTACGCGTAGTGGCGCAGGACCCGGACGCAGGCGAGGCCGGGCGCCTAGTTTACTCGCTGGCTGCGCTCATGAACAGCCGCTCGCTGGAGCTGTTCAGCATTGACCCACTGAGCGGCCTCATCCGCACAGAGGCTGCTCTGGACCGCGAGAGCATGGAGCGGCACTACCTGCGCGTGACGGCGCAGGACCACGGCTCGCCGCGCCTCTCGGCCACCACCATGGTGGCCGTTACAGTGGCCGACCGCAACGACCACGAGCCGGTGTTTGAGCAGGCGCAATACCGGGAAACGCTTCGCGAGAACGTGGAGGAGGGCTACCCCATTCTTCAGTTGCGTGCCACAGACGGCGACGCGCCCCCCAACGCCAATCTGCGTTACCGCTTCGTGGGGCCGCCAGCTGCGCGCGCCGCTGCCTCCGCCGCCTTCGAGATTGATCCGCGGTCTGGCCTCATAAGCACCAGCGGTCGCGTGGACCGCGAGCACATGGAAAGCTACGAGCTGGTGGTGGAGGCCAGCGACCAGGGCCAAGAGCCCGGGCCGCGCTCTGCAACTGTGCGTGTGCACATCACCGTGCTGGATGAGAACGACAACGCGCCCCAATTCAGCGAGAAGCGCTACGTGGCGCAGGTGCGCGAGGATGTGCGCCCCCACACGGTGGTACTACGCGTCACAGCCACCGACCGGGACAAGGATGCCAATGGACTGGTGCACTACAACATTATCAGCGGCAACAGTCGTGGCCATTTCGCAATTGACAGCCTCACGGGCGAGATCCAGGTGGTGGCACCTCTGGACTTTGAGACAGAGCGAGAGTATGCCTTGCGCATCCGGGCGCAGGATGCAGGCCGGCCACCACTGTCCAACAACACAGGCCTGGCCAGCATCCAGGTAGTGGACATCAATGACCATACTCCTATCTTTGTCAGCACACCCTTCCAGGTCTCTGTACTGGAAAACGCACCCCTGGGCCATTCAGTCATCCACATTCAGGCAGTGGATGCAGACCATGGGGAGAATGCCAGATTGGAGTACTCCCTAACTGGTGTGGCACCTGATATGCCCTTTGTGATAAACAGTGCCACTGGCTGGGTCTCTGTGAGTGGTCCCCTGGACCGTGAGTCTGTGGAGCATTATTTCTTTGGTGTGGAGGCCCGAGACCATGGCACCCCCCCACTCTCAGCCTCAGCCAGTGTCACAGTAACTGTGCTAGATGTTAATGACAATCGGCCTGAGTTTACGATGAAGGAGTACCACCTACGGCTGAATGAGGATGCAGCTGTGGGCACGACTGTGGTCAGTGTGACCGCTGTAGATCGTGATGCCAACAGTGCCATCAGCTACCAGATCACAGGCGGCAACACCCGGAATCGCTTTGCCATCAGCACCCAGGGGGGTGTAGGTTTGGTGACGCTGGCTCTGCCACTGGACTACAAGCAGGAACGCTACTTCAAGCTGGTGCTAACCGCTTCTGACCGTGCCCTTCACGATCACTGCTACGTGCACATCAACATCACAGATGCCAACACTCACCGGCCTGTCTTTCAAAGTGCCCACTACTCCGTGAGCGTGAATGAGGATCGGCCAGTGGGTAGCACTGTGGTGGTCATCAGTGCCTCTGATGATGACGTGGGTGAGAATGCTCGTATCACCTATCTCCTGGAGGACAACCTGCCCCAGTTCCGAATTGATGCAGACTCAGGGGCCATTACACTACAGGCTCCACTGGACTACGAGGACCAGGTGACCTACACACTGGCTATCACTGCTCGGGACAATGGCATCCCACAGAAGGCAGACACCACTTATGTGGAGGTGATGGTCAATGATGTGAATGATAACGCTCCACAGTTTGTGGCTTCACACTACACGGGGTTGGTGTCTGAGGATGCCCCGCCTTTCACCAGTGTCCTGCAGATCTCAGCCACTGACCGGGATGCTCATGCCAATGGCCGGGTCCAATACACTTTCCAGAATGGGGAAGATGGGGATGGAGATTTTACTATTGAGCCCACCTCTGGTATTGTCCGCACAGTGAGGCGGCTGGATCGGGAGGCAGTGCCAGTATATGAACTTACTGCCTACGCAGTGGACCGAGGTGTGCCCCCGCTGCGGACTCCAGTCAGCATTCAGGTGACGGTGCAGGATGTAAATGACAATGCACCTGTCTTCCCAGCTGAGGAGTTTGAGGTGCGAGTGAAGGAGAACAGCATTGTGGGCTCCGTGGTGGCTCAGATCACTGCAGTAGACCCTGATGAAGGCCCCAATGCCCATATAATGTACCAGATTGTGGAGGGGAACATCCCTGAGCTGTTCCAAATGGACATCTTCTCTGGAGAGTTGACTGCACTCATTGACCTGGACTATGAGGCTCGCCAGGAATATGTGATTGTGGTACAGGCCACGTCGGCCCCTCTGGTCAGTCGGGCCACTGTGCACGTCTGCCTGGTCGACCAGAATGACAACAGCCCTGTGCTCAACAACTTCCAGATCCTCTTCAACAACTATGTATCCAACCGCTCAGACACCTTCCCCTCAGGAGTTATTGGACGCATCCCAGCTTATGACCCTGACGTCTCTGACCACCTTTTCTACTCTTTTGAGCGGGGCAATGAGCTGCAGCTGCTGGTGGTCAACCAGACCAGTGGGGAGCTTCGACTCAGCCGCAAGCTAGACAACAACCGCCCACTGGTGGCTTCCATGTTGGTGACTGTCACAGGTAAGGGGTGGGGGCAGGCAAGTGACCCAATGACCTCAACCTGTCAGGGCCTCAGAGGCTCCACAGGGCACCTCAAACCAAAGAAGGATTTCCAAGCCTTCCAAGAATCCCTTAAGTGCTGGGTTCCTGCACCCCACAGGATCTGCCATAGACTTGACAGGTTAGGTTCACATAGTCTCTGCTTAGGGTCTTGGGTAGACTCCACAGAAACCCAAAGATTCTAGGGCATCTAGCAGGCCCCATAAAGACCGTATGAACTGTCCACTACACTAGAGATAGTGCCCCCACCCTCAAAAGGCTGCAGGTCCTGGGTTAATGCTCTGGAGGTCACAGGAAAAGCAAGCTTGGGCCATTCAGCCCATACCACACCCTTGTTCAGATGAAGCATTACTTTGGGTCCAATCTGACCTTCATCTGTACAGGGGAGGCAGGCCAATAGTTTAGTGGTCAAGAACAGCAGCTTGCTCTGGCAGTTTCAGACAAAGAGTGGGCCCACATTGACGTGGCTGCTCTCTGAGGGCTGACTGCAGCCCTGCCCTTCGGGAATATGTCCAGAGGCCCACCTGCCTCTTTCCTACCTCTACAGCACCAGACTTTCACAAACACTCCCTCATAGGACGGTGCAGGTGGGAGAGGCTCTTGCAATTCTGCCTACTGCTCCCGAGGTTGGGAACTAGACTTCAATTGGTGTTCATTCCCTGGTTCTGGAGCATGGACTCCTGGCTCTGCCAAAGAAGACACAGCCTTCATTTATCCCCCAGTTCACTCAACAACCAATCCTTATTTAGCATTCAATGTGTACTAGGGCCTGGGGACAAAGTATATAAGCACCTCATCCTCATTTTGAGAGGTGGCCACTGAGATCACAGGACCCAGGTCTGGGGTGATGGGCAGCTTTCTGACCCAAGAATGCTGAGGAGGGGGGGTGGGTGGTCAGGGTCCAAGACCTTCCTGGAGAGAGGGAGCTTTCTGAGCCAGGGTTCTGTGGGATGGGGTTGAGTGGCCACAGGGCCAGGGCCCCTTTTAGTGCCATGGGAAAACAGTTTGCTGACCAGAGATAGGGGATGGGTAATCCTTGATCTAGAACCCCATTTGTTTCTTTGAGGGGATATTTTGCTGGTTATGCAATGCTGGGGGGTGTGGGGGGGGTGGTCAGTGGCCCTGGCAGCTCTTTAAGTTCTGAGTGAGGGTGTCTTTCTGACCATAATAACCTGGGGGAGTGGTTACTGACCACTTAGGGACCTTCTTGTGTGCTGTTGGATGAATGACTTACTGACCCATGGCTGGCTCAGATCTCTGCTGGTGTTGGAGGGAGGGGAGAGGAAGCAGCAACTTTGTACCTTGATGCTGGGGGAGCTGGTGGTCACAAGCCCCAGACCCGCTGTGTCCTGGCAAGGTCAGCCTGCTGACTCCGGTGCTGGGGGTCTGGGCATTCATTTACCCCAGCCCTCTGACTCCCGGGGGAGGGGCAGCCGATGACTCCAGACTGACCTCTGTCCCTACCCCCACCCGCAGATGGGCTGCACAGCGTGACGGCGCAGTGTGTGCTGCGCGTGGTCATCATCACGGAGGAGTTGCTGGCCAACAGCCTGACCGTGCGCCTCGAGAACATGTGGCAGGAGCGCTTCCTGTCACCACTGCTGGGCCACTTCCTGGAAGGCGTGGCCGCGGTGCTTGCTACACCCGCCGAGGACGTCTTCATCTTCAACATCCAGAACGACACGGACGTGGGGGGCACCGTGCTCAATGTGAGCTTCTCGGCGCTGGCGCCACGCGGGGCCGGGGCGGGCGCTACGGGTCCCTGGTTCAGCTCCGAGGAGCTGCAAGAGCAGTTATACGTGCGCCGCGCCGCCCTTGCGGCCCGCTCGCTCTTGGACGTGCTGCCCTTCGACGACAACGTGTGTCTGCGCGAGCCCTGTGAAAACTACATGAAATGCGTGTCCGTGCTGCGCTTCGACTCGTCCGCGCCCTTCCTGGCCTCGGCCTCCACGCTCTTCCGACCCATCCAGCCCATTGCAGGCCTGCGCTGCCGCTGCCCTCCCGGCTTCACTGGAGACTTCTGCGAAACGGAGCTGGACCTCTGCTATTCCAACCCGTGCCGGAACGGCGGCGCCTGCGCGCGGCGCGAGGGCGGCTACACCTGCGTGTGCGGCCCGCGCTTCACAGGTGGGCAGGCTGCGGGGCTGGGGGGATGGCAGAACTGAGGATGTAAAGGGGGCGTGGCCGTGGAAGGGTGGGCGGGTTATGGGGGCGTGGCCGGGGCCGCGGGGAGCGTTAGGTGGGGCCAGACTGACAGGAGGCATGCCCACAGGGAGCTCGCCCTTTCAGAGGGCTGGGAGCCTTTGGAGGGGCGGGGCCCGCTGGAGTCCGCGCGGGCGGGATGGTGACCACCCGCCGCGGTTTGACCCGTAGGAGAAGACTGCGAGCTGGACACGGAGGCTGGACGCTGCGTCCCCGGCGTCTGCCGCAACGGGGGCACCTGTGCCGACGGGCCCGACGGCGGCTTCCGCTGCCAGTGCCCGGCGGGCGGCGCCTTCGAGGGCCCGCGCTGCGAGGTGGCGGCGCGCTCCTTCCCTCCCAGTTCGTTCGTCATGTTCCGCGGCCTGAGGCAGCGCTTCCACCTCACGCTGTCCCTCTCGTAGGTGCCCGCCCCGTATCTCTGCGCGCCTCCACGCCGTCCCTACTCCCTCCATGACCGTGACTCGAATTCCCGGCTGCCCCTTCCTGATGACCCACAGGACACCGCCCCTCCCGGGATGCCCCACCTGGGTGTCTCTCGGAGCATCACTGTCCCTGACGTCATGGCATCCTTTCTCATCGCTTCCTGCCCCATCCTAGCCTGGGCGGGCGCCCCGCGAAACTTCCTGTCGCAGGGATGGTGCTGTGAGGTGTCCCGCTCATGACGCTCCCTGTCCACCCCACCCAGGTTCGCAACGGTGCAGCCAAGTGGGCTGCTCTTCTACAACGGGCGCCTGAACGAGAAGCACGACTTCCTGGCCCTGGAGCTCGTGGCCGGGCAAGTGCGGCTTACATATTCCACGGGTGGGTGCTCCCGTGGATGTGTATGTGGGCGAGTGTACATGTGTGGGTGAGATGGCTGGGGGGTATAAGCCTCAAGTCCCCTCACTGCACCCCTAAACACCTACTTCCATGCCAAACAGACATCAGTGAGGCTCTGACCCTCCTAGCCATTCCCTTGGGGAAAGTCCATCTCTCCATGAAGTGTGTGCTTCTCCTATCTGTCCAGAGGCACTCTGGTCCAGCCAGTGTGGTCACCAGTGGATGGGACTGCTCTGATGTATCCAGGACCATATGCTACATCCTGGGAGTAGCTGCTTTAATATGACTGGGGGTGGGGAGGGAGAGGCAACTAGGCAGCTCCAGGAAACCTTCCATCTGTATCCTCCCCACAGGTGAATCCAACACAGTGGTCAGCCCTACAGTTCCAGGGGGCCTGAGTGACGGACAGTGGCACACAGTGCATCTGAGATACTACAACAAGGTGGGCACCACCCTTGGCATGGGAGCATGAGGGGAGCTGGGAGGCTAGGTTCTGCCCCTCAGAGGTCACCCTGGGGGTCCTGTTGACTGGTGTGCCTGGGTCTCTAGCCCCGGACAGATGCCCTGGGGAGTGCTCAGGGCCCTTCCAAGGACAAGGTGGCTGTGCTGAGCGTGGATGACTGCGACATGGCCGTGGCTCTGCAGTTTGGTGCTGAGATTGGCAATTACTCATGTGCGGCTGCTGGCGAGCAAACAAGCTCCAAGAAGTGAGACCCCCGCCCCTGGTCCCCATGCCTTCTGCCTGCCAAAGCCCACCCCAACCCTTCACATATCCCACTCCCCACTCCAGCCTGCCAAACCTCCACATCCTTTTCCAAATCACCATTGCTCTCCCCACGAGGACACTGAAACCCCACCTCACCCTAGCTCCGTCCCTGTATTCTACCCCAGACTCCCCATTCCCACACATGGTCCCCAGGCCGCCAGTCCCCAGTCTTCACTCTCCCTGCTTCTTTTTAATGCCCCACATCCCCACTTGGTGCCCCAGCTCTTCACCAGCCACCCAAATGCCTCACTCTTTCATCCTAGCCCTCGACCCGTCTTTCACCTTTCCCCAGACCATCTGTCCATCATGAGCTCTCCTTTGCACCCCCACAACTGAAGTTAGGTCCCACCTTCTTCCCTAGCCTGGCCTTACCCTCCCCCCTAAATCACCTTTACCCTCTGAGTCCTACCCCCCCCACACACACTTCCTGTGGCCCTCAGGAGCAACCCTACCCTGGCCCCCGTCCCAACAATGATGCGGACCCCTGATCCCCAGGTCCCTGGACCTGACGGGCCCTCTGCTCCTGGGGGGTGTCCCCAACCTCCCCGAGAACTTCCCCGTGTCACACAAGGAGTTTGTTGGCTGCATGCGGGACCTGTACATTGATGGCCGCCGAGTGGACATGGCAGCCTTTGTCGCGAACAACGGCACCATGGCAGGTAGGCCGTGTCCCCATATTAGAGAGGGGGGTGGAGGGCTCCATGGAGTGACTCCAAATCTGACCTCATCCTTGTTTCCTTTGAGGGCAAGCACCATGCCATAGCCTAGCCTTTAGGGCCCGCCTCCTTCCAACTCCACCCCGAGAGAACACAGGGTGAAAATTGTGGCCACTTTTGGCCCCTCTGGACCCCTCTGTCCTGTCTAGCACTCGTGCCCCCCGCCCCCCATGTTCTCACATCCTCCATGTACCTTCCTCTCCCAGGCTGCCAGGCCAAGCTGCACTTTTGTGACTCGGGCCCCTGTAAGAACAGCGGCTTCTGCTCAGAACGCTGGGGCGGCTTCAGCTGCGACTGCCCCGTGGGCTTCGGTGGCAAAGACTGTAGGCTCAGTGAGTGGGCAGCACGGGGCAAGAGGGGCCTGCAGGGTAAGGTCTGTTCCTGAGGTGGGGCCTGTGATCCTGCTCTTTTTATCCCCTCAGCCATGGCCCATCCCCATCATTTCCGAGGCAATGGCACCCTGAGCTGGGACTTTGGAAATGACATGGCCGTGTCTGTGCCATGGTACCTGGGGCTGGCATTTCGGACGCGGGCGACGCAGGGGGTCCTGATGCAAGTGCAGGCTGGGCCACACAGCACGCTCCTCTGTCAGGTGTGTCTGTCCTCCTGGCCCCTCCCTAGACCCTCAACTCTCAACTTCAAATGCCGCCAGCCGCACTCCTTTGAGTTTGAGCCTGGTCATACCGCATGCTCCTACCAGGTGTACTGATCATACTTAACCCTGCTCTGGATCCTAGCCCTCCACCTTCTTTCCCACCATGATATCCTCTGCAGGCGCAGGGCCCCAGCATATCTCTTTTGTGCTGACTGCACTGATCCCCGACCCCTGGCCTGACGTCTGCCCCCTGACTTCCCTCTCAGCAACATGACGTCCCTGGGCACAACGCCCTGTGTGCCAGATATAGCCTTGGCCATGCAGTGCTGACGTCTGAGTCCCCGGACCTCACCTCCTGATACTCCCAGCCCCAGCCCAACTTGGGGCCCTGACCCCAGGGCTGTGCTTCTCTATCTGCAGCTGGATCGGGGGTTGCTGTCCGTGACGGTGACCAGGGGCTCGGGCCGTGCTGCCCACCTCCTCCTGGATCAGGTGACTGTCAGTGATGGCCGGTGGCATGATCTGCGGCTGGAATTGCAGGAGGAGCCAGGGGGCCGGCGGGGCCACCATGTCCTCATGGTCTCATTGGACTTTAGCCTCTTTCAGGTCTGATCGCTGATTCTGCGGTAGTCCATTCTCAGTCTTCCAACCAGACCCACCTCATTTGACACCCCCCCCTGCAGTTCATTTCCTCTCAGTTGCCTCCACTGCACCCCACTCTCCCTGCAGTGCCCTCCTCATACCCTTGCTCTGAGCCCACCCTGCCCGCCGGGCTGCTCCACTGCCAGGCCTGCTCATGTCGGAGAGGCTATCCAGATTTCTGGTCTGGTCTTCGGGTACCTCTGCAGCCCGTACATTCCCAAACTCTTGGAAACCCCCTCTGGTCCCTGCCCTGACCTCCCTAGCTCAAAGCCATGAAAGTTCACGGTCTATCTGGGTCCAGGAGAGAGGCCTATCTGGGCCCAGTTCTTGACCGAAACCTTGCTATTATCCATCCCCCATGCTCCAGCAGGTCCTCCATACTCGGGGACAGCTGATTCCCAGACCATTCCGCTGGTCCAGAGGGACAGAGGATGGTCATGCAGGGATAAGACAAGGTCAAGACTGACTCTGAGGTAGGGCAGGGATCCATCAGGTGCCCCCACACCCCCAGTGCTGACTGTCCCCCTCCCCTAGGACACCATGGCAGTGGGGAGTGAACTGCAGGGCCTGAAGGTAAAGCGACTCCATGTGGGAGGCCTGCCCCCCAGCAGTGAAGAGGAGGTTCCTCAGGGCCTGGTTGGCTGTATCCAGGTGGGGGTCAGCATGGGAACATGCTATGGGCCATTAGGGTGAGTGGTCAGAGGTTAGGAGTGCTTTGGGACCTGACAAGCTGCATTCACGTAGGGGTTGGCATGGGGAGGGGATGTGACACAGAGCCATCAGAGATAGGCCAGGCCTTCCTGTGCTGTTGGAGGTGAGGGTCTAGCTTAGTTATCAAGGGTCATTAGAGAGCTCTGTCAGGGACAGCATGATTAGGGGTCCCCTGGGGGGCCTGAATTGGGGATGTTGGGGTCAGGGTCTGGGTCTTTTGGGGAGCCTGGGGGAGACTGCATGTCAGGGGTCATCAGATCAGGTGGCTGGCTCTATAGGGACCAAGGGGCTTTGGCATGAGTCTCACGCCTTGCTCACTCTGTCCGCAGGGGTTATGGCTCGGCTCCACGCCTTCGGGATCCCCAGCCCTGCTTCCGCCCAGCCACCGAGTGAACGTGGAACCTGGTTGTGTCGTGACCAATGCCTGTGCATCTGGCCCCTGCCCACCCCATGCTGACTGCCGAGACCTCTGGCAGACCTTTTCTTGCACCTGCTGGCCAGGTGTGATTTGGGGGTAGGGCAGAGTGATCTGGGCAGGAACCAGGGGCTCATGGTGAAGACCGGGGGATCTGGAGAGCCTGGAGGAGGCAGGCACTGGAAGAACGGGTGCCTGCTTCCTCCCATGCTGTGGCCAAGTGTCCTGAGCTTGCTGACCCAACCTGCAGGTTACTACGGCCCAGGGTGTGTGGATGCCTGCCTCTTGAATCCCTGTCAGAACCAGGGGTCATGCCGCCACCTCCCGGGAGCCCCCCATGGCTATACCTGCGATTGTGTGGGTGGCTATTTTGGGCACCACTGTGAGCACAGGTGAGGGGCTGGAGGCTGAGATGATGGAAACACCTGGTGGGGGGCAGGGAGGGTCACTGAGACGTGGAGGCATCTCACCTGGCTGTCTCCCTCCAGGATGGACCAGCAGTGTCCACGGGGCTGGTGGGGGAGCCCAAGCTGTGGCCCCTGCAACTGTGACGTTCACAAGGGCTTCGACCCCAACTGTAATAAGACAAACGGGCAGTGTCACTGCAAGGTATGCCTGGTCCCTGGCCCCTGACATTTGAACTTTTCTCCAGCTGTGATTTGTGATTCTTATCCAGCTTGCTGATCTCTGCCACCTGACCCAGGCCCTGACCTCTTACTCTGTCCCGTCACCTATCTGCCACCTCTTGTCCTTGACATCTGATGCCCCCCCCCCCCGCCCCTTATGTTTCATTTGGAGTCCAACCTTCCTTCTGGCCTGTGAGTACTGTTCTCTTGGCCCTTTGCCCCTGATTCCACTCATTCCCCAGGCCTGAGAGCCCGACCTTAAGCCCTGATCTCTGACCTCAGGCCCCTGATCCGTTCTCAAACAGGAGTTCCACTACCGACCACGGGGCAGCGACTCATGCCTCCCATGTGACTGCTACCCTGTGGGCTCCACCTCACGTTCATGTGCGCCCCACAGTGGGCAGTGCCCCTGTCGCCCAGGAGCCCTCGGCCGCCAATGCAATAGCTGTGACAGTCCTTTCGCAGAGGTGACAGCCAGTGGCTGCCGAGGTGAGCAGGCTCCCTGCAGTTCCACATCGACAGGGCTGGCTCTGGCTGCCACCAAGTCGCCTGGACTGCCAGGCTCCCTAGATAGGGGCTCTGGGAGGTTTTTCCTGAAGGAGACCACTGACACCTAGGGACCCCCACATTTGCCCCACGTACTTCAGTGACTTGTCACCGAATCTGATAGGCCGCTCCCATAATAAGGTCAGCCCGGGAGTGGTGGGTGGTGGGTCTGGTATGGGTGGTAGAGGAGCCGTGGGTGTGGCTGTCGCTGGCCCCAGCCTCCGGCCATCTGCTTCAGTGCCTCCTCTCTCCCTAGTGCTCTATGACGCCTGCCCCAAGTCCCTGAGATCTGGTGTGTGGTGGCCCCAGACCAAGTTTGGCATGTTGGCCTCAGTGCCTTGTCCTCGGGGGGCCCTGGGTGAGTACCTGGGGGGGCAGGGGCATCGCTGAGGGTGGGAGTAGGCCTGTCCTCTGACTGCTGGAGCTGCTTCTTTTCCTGAGTTGGGTGGCCCTGCTCCTGCAAAGAAGTGGGAGTCAGGGAGGGGTCCATGTGGGCTCCTCACTACCTCCTAGGGGCTCTGGGCCCCTCCCCACACCCTCATTGAGCCTCCATCTGTTTCTCTTGGCTTCTGGGCAGGATTGCGGGGTGCAGGTAAGGGGTACGTGTTTGCTCAGGTGCGCTGCTGCCCCCCCTCACCGCCAGAGCTTTTGCAGACCCCTCCTGCTGCCTGAAATCCCTGCAGACCCATCCCCTGCTGCCTGAGGTCTCTGAAAGCTACTCTCAGCTGCTTGAAGTCCCTGGAGGCCCCTTCCCACTCTCAGAGGATGCTGGGGGCCCTTTTCTGAGGCCTGAGGTCCTCAGAGGCCCCTCCCCACTGCCTGAGGACCCTGCAGACCCCTCCCCACTTCCTGAGATCCCTGTAGACCCCTCCTCAGTTTCTGGGGTCTTCAGGCCTTTTCCTACTGTCTAAGGTCACGAAAGAACCCTCCCCTCTGTTTGAGGACCCTCTAGACTCCTCCCTGCTGCCTGAGGGCCCCTCCCCACTGCCTGAGGTCCCCGCAGAACCCTCCCCGCTGCTTGAGGTCTCCACAGTGGCTGGACAGAGATCGTCTGTGTATGCATGCTCATGTGTGTGTCTTTCTGTGCCTGTGCATGTGTCTGTGAGTCTGTCTTGCAGGGGAGGGGCTTCTGTGTTTAAGTTAGGGTCCTTCTTGCTGGTGGCTATAAGCTCTCTTAAGGCCCAGGTCAGTTCTCATTCAACCCCCATCCTGATCACACAGATGAGGGAGAAATGGCAGCAGAGCCCACCACGGGGGCAGTTAAAACTGGTGTGAGAACTTTCACCCCACCCTCACTTTGGTCACACACTGCCCCTGGAAAACCTGGTCTGTGTCAGCATGTCTGCGTGTGCATACATGAGAGAGCGTGTGTGTCTGTGTGTCTGTCCTGATCCACACATCTGTGTGTGTGTGCTTGCCCTGGGCCACATGTCTGTGAACCTGGCCTGTGTGTGTGTGTGTGTGTGTGTTTGTGTGTGTGTGAGACAGAAAGAGATAGAGACAGAGAACGCCCTTGTGCTCAGCTTTATGTAGCCAGTGGTTCAGAACGGCCCACAGACCCTTCAAGAATTAACTGATAGGCAGCTGGGACCTGCCTGGGCTGGGGGCTGGGGCTGCAGGGTCCAGGGGTCCAGCCACAGATGCCAACTATTCTGGTCTCTGCCTCAGAGCTCTCCCTGGGTTAGGGGAGGGTGCTGTGCTCCCTCCTCAGCGAAGGTGTCCAGGCCCCAGGCCTGACCGGGGGTCATCTGGTCCTAGGTGCTGCTGTACGGCTGTGTGGTGAGGACCAGGGTTGGCTGGAGCCTGACCTCTTCAACTGTACCTCCCCTGCCTTTCGAGAACTCAACCTGCTGGTGAGACTGCCCAGACCTGGCCCTGCACTCAAGACCTGCGCTGGCCCCGGCCTGGCCTCGGCCTCCCCAGGCCGGTGCTGGGCCCTAGGCCTCATGCCCCAGCCTTTGACCTCCTGGGCTTTTCCTGGTTGCCCTTTAATCTGGCCAAACCCTTCTTCCGGTGAAGCTTTTGAGAAAGGCCTAAGGGACCGGAGAGCGACCATCCCCATCTTTGTCCTGGCAGCTGGATGGCCTAGAGCTGAATAAGACAGTCCTGGATACGGTGGAGGCCAAGAAGCTGGCTCAGAGGCTGCGGGAGGTGACCGGCCACACTGACCACTACTTTAGCCAGGATGTCCGGGTCACTGCCCGACTGCTGGCCCACCTGCTGGCATTCGAGAGCCACCAGCAGGGCTTCGGGCTGACAGCCACACAGGACGCCCACTTCAATGAGGTGGGGCTGCGCCCTGTGCTCAGCATCCCCTGGACCCCTGCTCGGGTCCCTCCTGACCCTGGGGAATTGAAAGCCCTGGGCTCTCCCTCTGCCCTTGTCCTCTCCAGACCCACCCCTTTGCCTGCTGGGGCCTGAGTGCCCAGCCAGACCCCTCAGGCCAGCCCTGTCCCCTCACATGTCCTCACATGGCTGAGCCCACTCTCATCTCCCTCCTCCCAGAACCTGCTGTGGGCTGGCTCCGCACTGCTTGCTCCCGAGACTGGAGACCTGTGGGCAGCCCTGGGGCAGCGGGCCCCTGGGGGCTCCCCAGGCAGTGCCGGGCTGGTGCAGCATCTGGAAGAGTATGCAGCCACCCTCGCCAGGAATATGGAGCTCACATACCTGAATCCCGTGGGGCTGGTGACGCCCAACATCAGTATGTGGCGGGTAGCCTGGCGGGGGGTGGGGGGCGGGAAGAGGGCTGTGAAAGGGCAAGGACCTGGAGGTCTGAGGGGCTGGGGATATGGATATCAACATCAGTGGCAGGAGGCTGTGCCACCTCCCTCAGGGCTTTGCAGGGACAGGTTCTGTGCTGGTAGCAGTGAACTGATGGGTTGTGGGATGTCGATACAGAATGGGGAGAGGAGGGTGTGGGGCCTTCAGCATGGGGAGGAGATCCTTGTTGGGTCACACCCATCTTCCTCCTGGGCAGTGCTCAGCATTGACCGCATGGAGCACCCCAGTCCCACCCGGGGGACCCGTCGCTACCCTCGTTACCATAGCAACCTTTTCCGGGGCCAGGATGCCTGGGATCCTCACACACACGTGCTGCTGCCTTCCCAGTCCCCACGGCCATCCCCACCTGAAGGTGAGAGTCCTTGGGTGACCCCTGGCCCAGGTCCTGTTTCCCTGCCCACCCTCGTTTGCCAGATAGTGTGTCGCCCTCCTGCCGGTTCTCCCCTTGCCAGGCCTGCCCCATGTCAGACCCCTGTGTGAGACCCTCCCACGTCAACCCCCCCACACCATTCTCACCTCGCCAGGTTCTCCCCCTCACCCCTGATGATCTCTCCCAGGCCTTGATATTCAGGATCCAGCCCTGGGGATGAAGGGGACATGGACTTCTGTTCTCCCCATCTCCCCATTCTGGACCTTCAGGGAAGAGATTCCCATGCTTGAGGCTGCATTGGGTTGGTTCAGAGCTGGGTTTGTGGGTGCGTGGGGTCAGAGGTCACTGACGGTGGTTCCTCTCCCTCCCCTGGCAGCTCTGTCCACAAGCAGCAGCAGCATGGAAAACTCTACCACCTCAAGTGTGGCCCCTCCTCCAGCCCCCCCAGAGCCCGAGCCAGAGCCTGGGATCTCCATTGTCATCCTCCTCGTTTACCGCACCTTGGGGGGGCTGCTCCCTGCCCAGTTCCAGGCCGAGCGCCGGGGTGCCAGGTACCACGGGGAGGGCTTTACTTCTAGGCCCCTCACCCCTGAGCTTCCTGCAAGCTTCTACCCAGCCTAGCACACCTTTCTTGGTGGGCAGATGAACAGGTTCACCGTCATCCTGAGACAGCTCCTGGGTACAGCCCCCGGGAGCCTCGTCCATGCCGTCTTCCCTGTGACTCATGTCCCATGGGGTCATGCACGGTTGAGCCACAGGTGGGGGCGGTCACATAAAAGAGGGGTATAGGAGCCAGGTACAGACAGGCAAACTGGCTGACGGATGGAGGTCAGAGGGGGCTGGCAGGGAGGGCCGTTTGAGGCAAACAGTCTGGAGCTGCTGGGGCCGCAGACCCCAGTGTGGGCAGTGGGTCTGAAGTCCTTGGCTGCAGAGAACCTGCTGCTTGGGCAGAACCGTGGCAGCCCAGCTAGGCCATTGGACTCAGGGTCTTGAAGCAGCCCAGAAATAGCTTCTGCTCTGGGGCACCCCGGACTCTCGGTCAGCCATGCCGATGGCATGAAGGCCGTGAGGTAGGTGGTCAGAGCTTGGGGAGGTCAGCGGTGTCCAAGCCCAGGTGGGGTGTCTCCTCAGGCTCCCCCAGAACCCTGTTATGAACTCCCCGGTGGTCAGTGTGGCTGTGTTCCACCGGCGCAACTTCCTAAGGGGTGTCCTGGAGTCCCCGATCAGCCTGGAGTTCCGCCTGCTACAGACAGCGAATCGGAGCAAGGCGATCTGCGTGCAGTGGGACCCACCTGGCCCGTGAGGACCTCCGCTCCGGAAACCCTTGGTCCCCTATGGGCCCCTGCAGTGCCCCGCCTGCCCCTGGGGCCCCCACCAATGTCCCTGTGCACCCAGGCCCCCGAAGAATGCTGCTCCCCAGCTTCAGCCCC